GTAAACCAACCGTTACAGTGTGGGGACTGCAGTCAATGTCGCAGAACAGCATGTGTACGATTACTGAATGTAAACCAGCCGTTACAGTGTGGGGACTGCAGTCAATGTCGCGAAACAGCATGTGTACGATTGTCAATGTAAACCAACCGTTATGTGGGGACTGTAGTCAATGTCGCGAAACAGCATGTGTACAATTGTTGAATGTAAACCAACTTGCTCCGTAAACTCTCACCCAAATTACAACCAGGAAAAAAAAAAAAAACTTTCTGGGGCAAAAAAGCCACGAACCATTTTTGTCTCTGAGACAGGTGTAACTAGGAAGAAAATGCTGTCATGGGTCCCATGTCAGGACCCTGCGAGGTTTACAACGACCGATGTTTTAGAAGTGGATTGTCAGGTCTGTCTTTCATGTGGACTCGAACCTCTAACCTTTCTGTTAACAGTGAGCACCTGACTGATTGTACCGCTCTGGGTCCCCGATGCCTGTGGCAGGAATCCAAACAATAACCCAAAGACAAAGCGGCAAGAGTGTCACACGCCTCCAAGCAGAGCCCCAGGGTGGGAATCGAGGGGCAAAGATGGAAGATGCGGGGGCAGACCAAGAGGCTGAATCTCAGGGTTTGAGAGGAGAAAGCCAAGTGCAGGAAGTGGTAAGTTGGAGAGGAAGCTTTTCTGACTTGTGTCTATAGATCATTATGACTTTAAGTGTCCCAGGCAGGATGACTTAAAAAAAGACACATCTAAAGCCATCTGGGTGAAGTGTCTCAATTGTGAGTTGAGGAAACTAACACGGGGGCTCCCTGAGGACCAGTCTTGGGAAGGCCTGAGTTAGCAGAGAGGCTTCTCCTACCTGTTCTGTCTCCGTCCAGTGAGAACCTTTTGATCATTCCGCATGAGTACTGAATGTACAAATGTACTGAAGACAGGGCACCCGCCATACTGCACAGGGCAGCAGGTGACCAGCAGGGCAGGAGAGGAGAGCCTGGGTGCGGGCAGTGGTGCGTACAGGTTTTCTGTCCAGAACACACCAAGTATTTTCTCCTTAACTTTTCTTGGAAGACAAAGTACACTGTAAGATCTCAAGCTTGTCCAAGAATGTGAAGACCGACCGAGGTGCGCGCTCCTCACACGCTGTCGGGAACCCAGCTCAGACGGCAAGTTCAGGAGTGCCCCTCCTGTGGAAGATGGCTCTGAGTCCTGAGAGGACAAAACGAACTCTACAGATTCTGTGCTCAGTTTCAAGAGACCACAAAGTGCTTGTGGTGCTCAAGGCCTCCTGGGAGGGAAGTTAAAGTGAATGGAAACTGAATGCAGACTCCCAGACGGGAGGAAATAAGGGGCTCCCACCCAGAACACCTGTGATGACAGCCCTGCATGGCTCGACGACCCCAGCACCCTGGGCTCTCTGCTCCCCCTTCCTCTGGCAGGAACCTTCCTCCTCCTGTCACCACCTGCTGGTCACCTGCTCCTCTGTGGGGGTACCAATGACTCCCTAAAGCTGGCCTTCCCTCCCTGCAACCTGCTGATACCTCCTGTGCAGAATGACCACATGCCACACAATTTCTTACAGGCCCATTTCCTCCACCAGACCAAGAACTCCTAGTTACAAGGGGGCGCCGATGAGGGAGGGAGCTTTTTGGGATTTGTTGTGTCTTTGGTATCAATATTTTACTCAGCAGAGTGAGATACTGTGGAATCAAACCTGAAGTTGATGTTAGCAGGGTGCCTGGCACATCACAGACGCTGAATAAAGGTCAGCCATGTGTTGTGAGACGGACAAAGACCACCCACGCCACAGCAAGCTGAAGCTCCTGACTCAGCAGGGGCCTTACCAGCAGGCGGGGAAGGGACTGTGGGGCTCGCCAGTGAACAAAACGAACGCTTCCAGTGTGTCCAGCTGGAGGCGTCGGGACACTGGCTTCCCTGGGGACTGGGATGGGGACCATATTTGGCTTTCTCTGTGGGTGGTGAGTGAGAAGGAGGTGCAAAGGTGAAAGAATCTGGCAGCTATGAACCAGGTCCAGGCCACTGTGGTCATAGTCTTGCTGTCCTATGTGGTCAGGCCAGGGTCCATTTGTACATTCAGTACTCATGCGGAATGATCAAAGGTTCTCACTGGACGGAGACAGAACAGGTAGGAGAAGGCAAACCATCCCTGGAAGGGCTGGGCAGCAGCCTCACTGCCGCTATTCTGCCTCGGGCCACCTGGGAGCCTCGCTCCTCTTAAGTCTGTGTGGTGGGGGTTGCTGTCTTTTGTGAGAGCAGGTGCTGTAGCAACTGGCCTCACTTCTACCCCAGAGGAGCAGGCAGGACCTGTGACAAACAGGTAGGACCACCGAAGACTCACACAATTATCAACTGTTAGGGGAGCTTGCCCTACGCTTTGGTTCCTTCTGTGCACAAGTCAGCAGTAGGCCACTGTGGAGGACTTGGGGGGCCTCTCTCCAGGTACCCACTGAGAGGATGACTCATCTTTTCTGTTAGTACCAGGAGGCTAACCCCTATTGTGAGGGTTAAGAGAAACAGGGTGGGTGTAGCCCACCCCGAGGGATGAGGGGCAAAGAGACGTAGCCATGGTTTAGGGAAATGCTGTGCAAATGGTTAACACATTTGGCTGCTGACCAAAAGGGTGGATGTCTGAAAGCCCCTGGGAAAGTCGTGATGAACTGCTTCTGAGAGATCAGCCCTTGGGAACCCACTGGAGCGGTTCTCCTCTTGCATACAGGGTCACCCCAAGGCAGAGCCAACTCACAGGTAACCTATGTTTTTATCACACACATGCTTTCAAGTGTGCTTCTAAAGGTGCAGTTTAAACAGGCAATAGTGTAGTGGTCGGCTGTGTCTAACAGCTGCCAGCAGCATTTTTTTTTCCTCCAAGTGTTTGCCACTTCTGTGGAGGCAGACTAAACAGTGCCCTGGACTTGTATTATTGGTGGCATAGTGCCTAAGGCACTTGACTGCTAACCAGAAGGCTGGAGGATCAAATCCACCAGCCACTCCTGGGAAGGAAGGTTAGGCAATCTACTTTGCAGTGATACCACCTTGGAATCTAAAAGACGGGTCGCTATGAGTCAGATCCGACTCAACAGCAGTGAGTTTAGTTTTAGTTTGATACCTTTTTGAAATCAGTAACAGTAACTGTAAATGAAAGGCACTAACAGTGATGAGCTCTGCTTTATTCGGCCGACTGCCGGGCAGTCTATTCGGACCCACGGGGCCCCTGGAGGACAGAGTGGAACTGCCCACAGGGTCTCCAAGGCTGTCAGTCTTCACAGAAGCAAAGCCCAAACCACACCCACTGCCTGGAG